ATCTATAACCCAGATGATGCACTTGAAAGGTTCTTCTTTTATGTCTTTGATACTTTCTTGCACTAATGCTGTGTGGAACATAGACTTGTATTTCACTTTGTTTTCATTCTGTGGCTCCAGCATGAGCTCGATCTTTTTGCCAATAAGTTAAACAACACTAAACCCTGCTTCAACATGCACAAAATCCTACCACATGGTTGCCCCAATGATATCTTTGATTGCCCTGAGAAATTTGATTGCCAGGACTTCTCTGTAAGCTGTCAGACACATTCTTGACCATATATTAATGTTTTGCAGGTGATCATTGATAATCCTCACTTGAGCAGGTCCTGAAAACATATGCTCCTTCTGATCACCCCATTTTTCTCTTGGTACCCAGGAATTCTCCCAGCAGGCTACGACATTCATGTCTGAGCTTGGTCATACTGTACTGACTTGTGACAATATCTGGGATACTTATTCAGGTCTTCTTATGTGCTTTTGAGCCATTGAAGGTGAGGATCCTATTCAAAGTGTCATCACTGCACAGCCAAAAATCCCGTGTGACAGTGAAAAACTAATTGGGTCTGAGGAGATGGATGTTCTGGATTTACCGCCATTTGTTGAAGGGGCTGGATATCATGTACCCACTGGTGAATCTGCGGCAGTCAACTCATCAGATGAAGAGTTTGACTTCTACAAGTTTACCTGGACAGATGAGTAGGCAATTTAGATTCAGCAAGTTGAGTAGTACTGTAGTCTATCTTAGTCCGCATCTGTTGGTGCCATTGATAATGTAGTACAATTGATTTCCTGTTCGAGACTGGTATCACTGGTGTCAGTATCGCATACCACCTTATCAAACTCTTCTTGCTTTCCCTTGAACAACTGCTCAGGATTGTGATGTTCAAAGCATGGTGTCTTCTGACATGTTTGAGTCAGGCTCAGTTGGTCGGTCCAGTGCGTCGAAGGGCTAGCTATCAGGCTACAGGATCTGGGAAGACAGGCACCTTTATTCAACCACTTGAGAATCACACTTCAAAAGAACAACTGTGACTGCAAATCACTTGGAAAATCACTTGGACTATTATATGTCTAACATGGTTCAAAAGCCTCCAGCATCCCTTGCTCCTCCTTCAAATCCACCATGGCAAACTTTACTCCCATGAATCCAAACAGCTGGAGACTTTGTCAGCGTTGCAACACACACTTTGAATCGACTGTACCATTTACATATGTGTGTGGTAAAGATGGCTCAGGCTGTACGTGTTGCCCAACCTGTGCAAAGCATTATGAGGGACGTAAAGCTATAGAACAGACTCGAGGCCAGCAAGCTACAAGCATTGGTGAGTCCAACTTTGATGAGTCTGAGTCTAAGTCCAAAACTAATCAAATTCATTATCATTCATGTCACAGACTTCACAGCTGCTGAGCCCTCGAGACATGAGCTGGTAAAAGCAATGTCAGCAGCACAACGTGGAGGTTTGTCATGCTCTGAGGGCTTCCGGTTTGTGTATGAAGCTTAATAGTACTATCTTATAGACAACACCTTTCCCAGTCGGCGCTTCAGCCATCCAGCCAACATGCTGGCAGGTGACCGCAGAAAAATGCTTCCTCCTCCAGTTCCTGCACACGTGAGCATGGGATATACGCCCAATCATGCTGTGCACCAGCTGCATCACAGCAAGATGGCTCAGGCAGCATCATCAGGGCGCTTCCATTAAGTCATGATTCAAGTCACCTTACATCACCTGAAACCAGAGGGAAAGTCGGGCACAGTGTTAGTTGGTGTAGGTCATATTAATTCTAACTTGCACTGCTCTCAACTTGCAAGATTGACAGAATATTGAATGTGATGTGCGTGTTGCACTCAACATCACCCTAGCTCAGCTCCAGTCCAAGGTAATCAACCAGCTTGAACCATTATGGGCAGGGTGGTCGCGCAGCCACTCTCTCTCCCTCTATAGCCTGGAAATGCACAAATCACCAAAGTTGATTCTTTACAACCCAAGACAACCATCCATTGGCGCTAATGAACCAGTCCTATAAGAATTCTTTGTGCGTGCAACGCCCAAGGACCCCACACCCAAATTTTTTGCAAATGCCCGTGTTGCCATCCTTCTTGTAATGACAAATGTGCAGTTTGAGGATGTGTTGCTCTGGCAGGAGCAGTGTGTCAATGTAGGTCTTTTTTCATGTTTTCAGCGATACCTTTCACACTTAGTTCAATCTCACAGAACATTGCACCAAGTGTTGACACTGATGTGCAAAATGTGCTAACACCATCTAGTATCCCTGCAAAGAAAAGGGTACTGCAAAGTCAAGGTAGCAGCAATGATTCTAGCCCATCGCCACCATGCTGCCCTGCACACAAGCGCTCCAGGAAGGTAAGTTGAGGCACTCATATATTGGCAGGTCTAACCATTTTGATACCACAGTTTCTGATATCTGAAATTAGCGAGGTCCTGGCAGGCACTTGGCAGGAAGCTTCAAAATGTGTCACCCTGCCTTGATTTCAAATGCAGACGTTGTCCCATCCATGTCTACATCACCACCACCATCTGTTCTGTCAGCCGAGCAGGTTGTAGCTAAATGTGTTGTCTTAATAACCGAGGGTCTTATATAAATTTGTGTAAGAATGTAATGACACCACAATTACACTTGGATAAGACTTCTTGCCAGTCCTTGATTAATGGCCAAAGGACAGATGGACATCAGGGTCCAGGTGCCGATAAAAAACTTTGTTCCTGCCATGTGCAGAGCAGAGACAAAATTCAGTGCGAGCTCCACCTCTTTACACCGTTCGCCACCTGGCTACACCAAAGGCAGTTACTAAGTGAGGAGGGTAGAGCTACAAGCACCGCGCGCACTCTGGTACCGATATAAAGTAGTGAATGAGGTTGTGAAATCTCTGGGTTGAGTGGTGATATCAACCAAAGTGAGTTGGAAACCATCACGTTGTCTTAATAACCGAGGGTCTTATATAAAGTTGTGTAAATGTAATGACACCACAATTACACTTTGGATAAGACTTCTTGTCAATCCTCGATTAACACGGTCTACGACTTTTCCTATTTTGTGGTAGATAATGTGTGAGTTCTTGGGAGGCTTGCTAAACTAATCTTTTTATAAAGATCAACCTAGCCGGAGCTTTACTTTTCTTTATTGAAACTCAAATCTCTTGTCTAGGAATAAGCTTCTAGACACGTAATTCGGTTTCTGGAATGTATTTGCCTAGGAAATCTCCTTCTAGGCTCTGGACTTGGATACTGGGACTAGTGAGACGTGGTCTCAAATATACGAAATATGACCAAGATCACTTGGTCTATGGGCACTGGAACTATGAGACAATGGTCTCAAATATACAATATATGTTCAAGATCGCTTGAACAAATGGGACTAGAACTTGACCAAGATCGCTTGGTCTATGGGACAACTAGTGAGACGTGGTCTCAACAATATGATAGATGACTAAGATTGCTTAGTCAAAGGGCACAGAGCAATGAGACAAAGGGGTCTCAAAGACAATATATGTGACCAAGAACACTTGGTCTATAGCACTAAATAAGTTTCTAAGGTAAGAAACTTATAATCTCAAGGGAATTCTTTTCCCTGCACTTGTCTCACTTCAAAGGGACTAACTTTGCAAGTGAAATATCTGATAGGCAGACTGCTACAAATGGGAGATCATATTTTTTTGGGGGGAGAATGGGCTCTCCTTATATACATTTTGTGTGGGAAAGTAACCTAGGTTCACAAACAATAAAAAATAAGGAGGACCAATCAAAATATTGGGTCAAACCCAATAAAAGAATAAAATACAAGTGAAAGATGGAGCTATGACATCATTGTGGAGCAGAACATTCTGGAATGTGGAGTAATGACATCATAATGACATCAAGAGTGACATCATTGTGGAGCAAAAGATTCCAGAACCTTCCATGAGTGAGTCATTGTGGAGCAGAATATTCTAGAAGGAAATGACATCATGAATGATGTCATTGTGGAGTAGAATAATCTAGAGCTTGATGACATAATATCTTTCAACAGAATACCTGCAGGAGTATCTGTGGAGTCTTATGACATCATAATGACATCATACCCTATGGGTACAATTTTATGAAGTGTCAGGTGAGTCAAAGCATCCTAATGAAAAAGTAAAGTAAAGAAACACTAGAGAAAAGTAGGTAACAAAAATAAGACAGTTGGCAGGAATTGAAACACAGTCAAAAAAATAATGCAGTTGGCAGGCATTGAAACACGGTCTTTTTGGATAGGTTTTTTATAGGCTTTGTACTTTTCTCTATGGTTTTCTCTAGCCAAAGTGAATAAGCCAAAGGCAAGGCTATACCTTAACCTTCATTTCTCTTCTCACATCAACTAGGTCTAAATGTGATTCCCATCTCACATTAGACTTTTTCCCTCAAAACATATTCAGATCGTGAAACTTGGGGAAAACTGGAAATATGGACCATGGTTTGAAACCAAGGTATGGGTTGACTAGTCTGAGGACTAAGCTAACAGACTTTGTCTTTTGAGGGTCACCTAGTATTCATGTCCATGCATGATTCCCACATCATGCAGGACAACGGTCAAAGGGCTGATTCGGATGGTCCAAAAGAAGTGATTTGAAGACATCAATTTTGATAGGTGTGGAGACTTCAAAAAGTGAGGGATTATCATGAACGGTTTCAAGCGCTTGAAGATTAAGAAATTCTTGAGGAGGAGGATGAGGTAAAGGCTCTGCAGATTCAGTCCAAAGAGCCATCCGGCTACAACCAGAGACGGTACTTCCCCAAACACCTTTGCACTTAAAGTGTTGTCCACGGGCGATACTTTTATTTAGTCCTGCCCCAGTTCGGACATTCAGATTTTTGATGTGCTTCCCTACATCCTCTCCGATCACAGCAGTGCGCGAACCTACAGTCCCCATCCATCTTCTCACAGGTTCCTCAATTCCATTTATGACAGGGATCACTCCTTCCTCCAACTCCGTGCATGGCCACTTGATTTCTGACTGATCAGTTGAACTCAATGACATGGGAATGGAGTCTGACCTCCATGGCATGGAAGAGTTGACTAATGTAGGTGTTATATTGGATGTACTTGTCTTGACGCTGCGGGAAGACAAAGGAAATTGCTTTGATATACATTGAGAAGGTGATATTGTGATCCGAGGAGGTTTTAATTCCGGTAGAGAATTTGGATACTCGGAGGGTGAGCTCAATCTCATCATCAATGATATGGGTTTTCTTGGGGTCCAACTTGGTTGTGTGTGCCAAGTCAAGAACTTTGGCGAGGTTGATGTATTTCCACCGCACGATGTTGAGCCATTCACTCAGCAGGAAAGGTGGACACCCCAGGATGGATAAGATGTTGGTGACGACACTTTTTGGGTCAGAGGCAAAGTTTTCGAGTTGCTTATAGGTGTCCTGGATATCCTGTAGTAAAGAGGCAAGCACTGAGGTTCATTTTTGAGCCCACAGAAATTTGCTTGCATCAATGACTTTGACTTTCTTTGAACTGGGCTTATCTTCATTCTCTGAAGCAGAGTCAACTCTTGATCCTCTTTTACCGACTCCAGGTTCATCTGCTGGTTCGCTACCCCTATTCTCTCAATGAGTCTCATCTTCTTTGACGGACCCGAGATCTCTTTGTCCTCATTCCGACGCTTGAACCTTGGATGCATCGATGCTATCAAGCATTCCAAGGTATATGTTGAGGGCTTCATCAAGACTTCTCCCATTTCAGACTGCGAGGGAAGAGAGAAGGCACTCTTGAATTCCAAGGATGGCGTTGACTTTGCTGACTTGACCATGCAGGTATTGACTGATGAAGTCATTGGACTGCTCAATACATTGGAGGTCTGATAAACCCTCTGATGTGGAGGTTTGTTCCGTTGAGGTAGCAGTTTGCGACAGTTCTCCATTATCTGACATGAAGGAAGCTACTGATGTAACGTAGTTAAAAGTGTTCAAAAAATCAGCTAGCGAAGTGACGTGAAAGGTTAGAAAGAGGGCCGTTAGAGTAATTTAAATGACAAGCTCACCTAGTGAGGCGACGGGAAAGGTTAAAGAGAGGGAAGACCTCAGAAACCTAAGTCGCCTGCTAAGTAAGCCCTACTCCACTATAGGAGCAACCAGAGCCCAAAACATGGACCCTAACATGTGAATAAAACACACTGGTCATGGCTGCCAACGACCAGTGCAAGTCACGCCCACTCAACGTGGAAGTATTTGAGACATACTCAAACTCAATTGTCATGTCGTTCATAACAACACTGGGAATCACACGACCCATTAGCTTAGTATAAATAAAATTACACCCAATTTATTGGACAGGTTGGTCGGGTATTATCATCGGTAATGCTGCTTGCATGGCAAGTCCCCAACTCCAATTCCCCGACAATCATATCTATCATGAAGCCAATTATATTTGAGCTCTCCTTTACAAACATTCATTCTAACCATTCTCTCGCTTGACCCATTCTATGCTCACTCTATTATCTCATGCCCAGAATGTTGACTCTGACATACACCTGGTCCATCCTCAACTAAGATAAACCTTGTTCATACACCGATTCATCATGTGACTTGAGAGGTCAGAATACATGATTTTGGCTTGTAACTTGACTTCAAATTAGAATTAGCAAAATCAATGGTGTGAAAGGGAGGGCTTCTTGGACCTGAACCACCATGCCAGGTAAGGGTGGCACCAATACAAGGTGTTCCCTGGCACTACAGTCTAACTCCCAGACTTAGTGTATAAGGCTGACATTGAGTCCAATAAGGGAATTGCATGGCTCAAGGCGATAGGACTGTTCTTAGGATCTGATGTGAGCTCGTAGTGGGGAAGTCAACCAGCATTCAAAAATGAGTCTACAAGGCTGTATTTTATCTACAAAAGAGTAAGGGTCCTTGATTATTACGAATGTGAAGGTTCAGTGAGATGGAGAATGGTGGCGCTGAGCCTGACAGGGTAGGAGTAATGGAAATGAGTGAGAGTATGTTAGTTTTTGAATGAAGGTAGTAATAGGGAGCTCGCCGTGCACAGGAATGACGAGAACCGTTGGGTATTTGACTGCTTTTGGGGTGAAGGAATGAAACTAAGAGAGAATGACAAGAGAGAGTTTGGTGATAAGTAGTTATGAATGAGGGTGAAAGACTGAGCTCATTGTTGAGCATAATGAGAAAGTGAAGGTAAGGAAAGAGAATGTGTCCGCATGACTCGGACGCAAAGTGTGATGCTTGTTCATGTCAGTGAGTCATGCGGATGTTGGAACGTAAGTCCTGAATTCTATTATGAAGCCTTAGTCGGGGTGTAGAGGATATGGGATCCTTACATCCCCTCCTTACTTCGAATATCGACCGTCCTCGGTCGATCTTCCAACAATAAAACTAAAAAAATATGCGTAATAAGATAGAATGGTTCGAGCAAAATAAAAGAGGAAACTGAAAAATAGAGAGAATGTTACAAGAGCATCTAGACGCTTGGGCCCCTACCATTTTTCTCCTCATCCTCCTCATATCAGCCCTTGCATCATACCCTTACCCTGACCTCACCCTCGTTATCCTCGTCATCCTCGCATTCCCTTTCACTCTCTACCTGTCGCTTCAGCAGAGCCAGTACATCTGGCCGGACCCTTTCGCTGACGAAGCATACCCATGCTCCGTTCCACCACCTGACTGATCCTGTGGACAGTCCCCTTGCCCTTACCGTCCGGACGGTAACCTATGATATGATGCACGACACATCCCCTTTGCCCTTTTCCCTTTTTCGATCTCTGACTCAGTGCGCAGTCGCACATGTTACTTATACTTAGATCTGCAGTTGCACGATCGTGCCCATGTGCGTTTCACTTCTTGTTTTTACCTTTGACTCACTTTCTTATCAAGCATGTTCTGGTTCACCCATGTCTCACCCCGAACGTGCCTTCCTTTTATGGTTATGCCCTTTATCGCTTACTTCACTTGGTAGTACGAGTTATCATCCATTAATACGCCTCCTGTCCTCTATATAAACTCGCTACCATGTACCATATTCCCTAACTTGAATCTACTTGGTTCTTGACCTCCTACTCTCACCAGAGTGATCCTTTCTGCCTAGCCAGCAGTCTATATTCTATCTTCTTATCTGCTCCTCGCGGATAAGCCTATAGTCTCGATCTTTACTCATCGACTTCGTCGACGAGCAAAGCCCCTGTTAACTAGTCGGACTTCCGTCCTTCTAATTAACGACGATCTTACGATTAACCTTCGGGTGTCGTAAGTCTTGGCTGATACAGCTCATCGTCTAGCACCCGCTTGACGTAAGCTACCCGATTCGGACATAGGCGTCAAATCTTACTTGCCGAAGCCTCGCCAAGTAAGACCCCTAACCTTGGGCAAGCCCAAGGACGTCCTCGACCATTGATGACACACGCTCTGTTTGAGCGTCGCCAACAGATACCATCCAAGTCGTAACAGAGAACGCATCTAAGACTGCTTGTCATTGACTCCGGTGAGAGCTTGAGGGTCGATTAAATTGGGTGACTTCAATAGAAGTGGGCAAGCGGTGGTAGGGGATAATGCGAAAGGCTGTGAACTTCATTTAGAGATGTGCCATCAAACTTCTGCGAGGCGGTAAGATCCTCCTTGAGAGCAGGAGGATAACAACCATGGGGCCGAAATAATGAGGTTTGCACTTGAATTGGATGCTGGTTCAATCCACTTTGTTCAGGACTAAGATGAGAGAGCGGGGGCGAAGTTATAGTCATGGATGGTGTTGGCAAAGCGCTTCTCGAAGTCATGATAGATGCGAGGTGGTTTTCAGAAGGTGGGTGTGTGCTATAGCAAGGTCTTTGTCATGCTTGGCAAGTTGGCAAGTGTGGCGGCAAGGAGATCCTGAGTTGAGAGAAGGGTGGTGATATCAGGAAGCATGAAGGTTGCATGGATGAAGTCAAAGGGGAGAGGGGGTTCTATACCGTGTGCTAGATAGTATGGCAAGAATCCTGTAGATTGGCGGGTGGTAACACGATCAGCCCAGAATATGTGATGTGCGAGGGTGGGCCACTTGGTGATGTCGCCGTTGCATGCTTTCACAAGGGAGTCCAGGATGGTACGATGCGAGTGTTCCATGACTCCGTTAGCTTTGGAGTTGTACGTGGAGATGTGGATATGATGGATATGATACTTCTGTGCTAACCAATCGAGTGCTGCGATAAATGGTGTGCCATTGTCCATGATGATTTCCTCAATTCCTCCCCATCTACAAAGAATCTCCTCAAAAAAGAATGCACCCAAGGTGCACCCAGTTTCCTTCCTCAACATACGGAACTCGGGCCAATTGGATAGGGAGCAGCGCGCTTGGACAATGTACATGAGGCCGTGCGAGGTTGGCATGTACATAGAGTCAGCAAAAGTCTTACGGAAGAGGGGTGCTGGAATGGAGATGGTGGGTGGAAGGACAACCTTCTCGACAGAACGGATCTGGCACTGATGACACGTCTTTTGTTACGACTTGGATGGTATCTGTTGGCGATGCTCAAACAGAGCTTGTGTCGTCAACGGTCTGTGGACGTCCTTGGGCTAGCCCAAGGTTAGGGGTCGTACTTGGCGTGTCTTCGGCAAGTACGATTTGACGCCTATGTCCAAATCGGGTAGCTTATGTCATGCGGGTGCGAGACGATAAGCTATATCGGCCTAGGCTTACGACACCCGAAGGTTAATCGTAAGGATCGTCGTTAATTAGAAGGACAGAAGTCCGACTAGTTAACAGGGGCTTTGCTCGTCGACGAAGTCGATGAGTAAAGGTCGAGACTATAGGCTTATCCGCGATGAGCAGATAAGAAGATAGAATATAGACTGCTGGCGAGGCAGAAGGATCACTCTGGTGAGAGTAGGAGGTCAAGAACCAAGTAGATTCAAGTTAGGGAATATAGTACATGGTAGCGAGTTTATATAGAGGACAGGGGACGTATTAGTGGATGATAACTCGTACTACCGGGAGAGGCAATCGGTAAAGGGTAAAACCATAATAGGAAGGCACGTTCGATCTAGGTAGAACGTGCTGGATAAGAAAGTGAGTCATAGATCGGAAAGAGAAGTGAAACGCGCAGGGGCACGATCGTGCAACTGCGGATCTAAGTATAAGTCGCATGTGCGACTGCGCACTGAGTCAGAGAATCAAGAAATGGAACAGGGCAAAGGGGATGCGTCGTGCATCATGCCATAGGTTACCATCCAGATGGTAAGGGCAAGGGGACTGTCCGCAGGATCAGTCAGGTGGTGAAACAGAGCATGGGTATGCTTCGTCAGCGAAAGGGTCCGGCCAAATGTACTGGCTTTGCTGAAGCGACAGGTAGAGGGCGAAAGGGAATGCGAGGATGACGAGGATGACAAGGGTAAGGTCGGGGTAAGGGTATGACGCGAGGGCTGAT